TATAATATAAATTATTATATAGTCAATTTCCCTAGAGGAGTTCTTTTTCAGGATATTAATAGTAGTGTTAGCTTTAAATTTGTAGGAGATGCCGTTTTCTCCCATTTGCCACGCCCACAATAAGCGTTAATAAATTAGATATGTTTATTGGATTTTTTGTTTTCAATACACAAAAACTACACTAAAAATTCCAACTCTCGCAACTCATATAATAGGGTTACCGGAAAAAGCACTTTCCGAACGGACAGACGGATGAATAACCAATATATTAATTTCCCATTGCTAATGTGTATGTATAATGATTGTTTTTATAAAAGATTCAATGTTAATATTTTATTTTAACATGGAGTTCCTGGGTCGTTCACATTAATGGTATCAATCGAAAATGTTCGATTAGCCTCGAAACAAGCGCAAAACTTCTGGGCAACGTGTTCGGAGACACAGAACGACTCATTGCGATACGAATTCAATCGTGTTATGAACTCCTCCTGTACCAAAACATGGTTCTGCGAGTCGGTCTGAAATGTGGCACGAAACAAACCTCCATTTGGTCGAGTGACGAACTTGATACGAAAAGTTTGAATTCTCTGGGACGACATCGCAGGGTTGCCGTCATCATCGAAGATCTGTTTGCGTTCGGCCCTCAGCAATTTGGCCAGCTTTAAGCGAACACATTTCGCTGCATAATTGTGGCTAGCCAGATATTCGTTGATGCGATAGACAATTGTTTTGGCCCAATAGATCAAAACATTGCTGATGCGCACCTGCACATACGAGTCACAGGTGCACCAGTGCTCCGGTATGGCAGCATCCTCGCAGCTGCGATTGACTGGCAATGGTTCGAATAACGATTGGCATTTCGCGCAGGATGAATTGAATTTGAGACCCGATTGCCCCTGGAGTACGAGCAGGTGCTTCAAAGTCAAATGCAAATCGAATGTCGAGCTCAAGCGACGACGATTCCAGTCGAGCGCTTGCACAAACTCTGGATGCTGCTCTCGATACCAGGGTGGCAAATAAATGTGCAGCATGGGCAATCGCTCCTCCAGAAAGCTGGAGGCTAGGCTCATCAAGGCGCCTTGCCGCTGGCCATGATCACTGAACAATACTACAACTGCCTTATCAAACAGGCCGTGCTCCTTGTACTGCTCTAAGTAGCTCACAAAATCCCTATCTACACTGGTTGGCCCACGGAAGTCGTTGTGACTGAAGCTATTCGACCAAAAGATTCCGAAGATCGGTTTCGGGGAATCGTGAACAAAACGCTGCACCAGCTGCAGGCAATAGTTGAAGACGTAGCGAAAACTTTGCCTCCGACCAAGACAATATTCATAGCCAAAGTGCTTTACCGTATTCAAAGTGTTTTGGATCATAAATATAAAAGGGCGTAGGTAGAAATCAACCGGCTTGCGAATGAAGCCAAATGTGAAATAGTGAAATGTATCTATGGAAGGCGTGTCCTCGGCATAGGCCGTCAGATAGCCAGCGTCTTGAAAGTGGTTCCAGAGATACGTGAATTGATCGAAGCAACCCGGCTCATGAATGTTGCACTGAGCTCGCCACTGACTCGATCTAAGACCCGTCAATAAAGACATTACATTGGGCAAGGTATTGTCCCCGATCTTGTTATAGCCCAGCATCTCATACCAACCCAGCTGACTCACAAACTGGGCTGTCCGTGGCATCGTTCTCTGAAAGTTCATCTGCGACATGGAGTCAATGCCCAACATTATCACACTGGGCAAGACGCGACTGCGTTCCACATCCTGATGCTCATTCCGTCCGTCAGGATACTGGATAAAAGAGAATGCATCGCGTTGCAGGATTCGCGATCGGTTGCTTAGCTCGTAGCACTCCACGACAATTCCTTCAATGTGACGAGGGACGATCCAGTTCTGGGCAAACGGGAGGGGTCCAACTCTCCTGGAAATAAAATATTTTTGGTCACATTTTTTGCTTAATATTATAATAGCCCTTGTCTGCTCATTTGCCATTCAGATCGCTCAAACACACCAGGTTAGGGAATCATTTGCTCCGCGTAATACCTCATAGTAGACGCACGAAAATTTCAAAATGTCTGGAAATAAATCTGCAAACACCGATTCGTTCACATGCAAAATATATTGCCTCTGCATCCCATCATAAAGAACGGAAACTAGATCGGACTCATCTGTGCACTCCTTAAATTTTTCTGTTTTGAAAATGCTCATGACATCGGAGGAAAACGGTTTAATCCGCGGTATTTTGCATCTGTGATCAAATACATTGAAATCCTTGTCAGTACTCAAAGGCTTAAAATTTGTTTGCTGTGTGCTCGATTTGCCATGGAATATAGTTGATAGTTTCGGTATTGTTGAACTTGTTTGTTCCTCAACAACTGAATTTCCATCACGATTCACAAGTATGAAGACACAGAAGACTAGAACAATGGCAAGTGTTTGCTTTCTGTATTTCACAATAAGGTGACGAGTCATTTCTATTTATTTTTTATTTCTTTACAATTTCGAATTTGTCTAGCTGGTGACTGTAAACTGAATGTTTGTTTATAATGAATAAATAACAAAAAATAGTACTCGCAGAACTTGCAGATTAGTGTGTCTAAGGATAGTGCGAAATTTCCTGTTTCGCTTGTGTGTCCCTAACGGATTCATGAATATGAATAAAAAATTAAGCCTTTGGTTTGCAAAGGCAGATCTCTTTTGCGTTGGGCTCATCCACACAATTGGTCTTGTTCGGAATGACATCCAAACGTCGTATCCAATCCCCAGGAACTCGTATAATACTCGGCCCCTTGCTGCAATGAACTGTCGCATAGAATATCGCTTTCGGTTTAGTAATGAACTTCAAATGGAACGAAAAAATTCGATTCGGTGGCTCCACCTCATTTCCATCAATATCGAAAAATTGTTTCCGCTCGGCTCTTAGCAATCTATCGAATTTTAATCGATAACACTTACTTTCAAAGTCCGGTCTATTCAGATATTGTGTGATGCGATATACAACTGTCTTAGCTAAGTCAATCATGTGCTGATTGTTCGCCACGGTCGTATGCAAATCACAGCTGCAATAGTAAAGGGAAATGCCAGCATCCTCGCAAGTGCGATTGACGGCTAGATTGACAAATAGCGATTGGGCTTTTATTTGCTCTTTCTGGAACACAATGCCGGGATGCACCTGCACGAGCAGATTCTTAAGCGTCAAATGCAAATCATATGGGGAGCACAGCCGACGACGATTCACCTCAAGCGCGTTTCTGACGTCTGGATACTGTTTCCGATACCAAGGCGGTAAATAGATGTGCAACATGGGCAAACGCTCTTCCAGAAAGCCCGAGGCCAACCGCATCAAAGGTCCCCTGCGCTGTCCATGGAGGCTGAACAAGATGACAACTGCCTTATCGAATAAGCCGTGCTCCCTGTACAGCTCAAGATACCTCACGAAATCCCTATCCACTCGTGCCGCTGCGCTAAAGTCCTCATGGCTGAAGGTCTTTGTCCAGTAGAGTCCGAAGAGCGGCTTGTGCGTCTCATTCATRAATCGCTGTACCAACTGCAGGCAAGACTCGAAAACATAGTGGAAACTTTCTCTCCGACCCAGGCAGTAGTCAGAGTCCCCCTGACCACGCCCTTCTTCTTCCATAATTTCCTTAAACACTTTCAGAATGGGATAGAGATAGTAATCCACGGGCTTGCGCGTAAAGGGTAAGGAAGGAGAGTCTTCCGCATAGGCAGTCACATATCCCGAGTTGTGAAAATGATTCCACAGGTAATTTAAAGCGTCCAAGCAACTTGGTTTTGCCATATCGCAAAAGTGCTGCAATTGTGCCAGTGCTCGACCGGTGAGAAAAATAATTTGATTGTAGAGCATATTATCTCCAGCGCTAGTATAGCCAAGCATCTCAGTCCACCCTGGCTGCCTCACAAACTTTGCAGTCAGTGGCATCGTTCTCTGAAAGTTCATCTGAGACATGGAGTCAATGCCCAACATTATGACACTAGGATAGGCCCGACTGCGCTTCTCATCGTTCGTTTCGTTCCTTCCGACTAGATGCTGGACAAAAGAGAATGCATCGCGCTGCAGGACTCGAGACCTGTTGCCTAACTGAAAGCACTCCACGACAATTCCTTGAATGGAACGGGGCACGATCCGGTCACTACAAGTAAATGGTGATCCCTTGTTCCTGAATGCGAAATTATGGTTGAATGGAGGTCAGCATAAGATAACTAAATACATACCAGATGGGCTTATCACTTGTTCCACTAATGATCTCGTAAAAGACGCACGCATAGTGGATCACACTTGGAAATAGTTCCACGAATAGAGATTTATTAAAGCGCAATAGATATAGTTTTTGGTGTTTATTATATCGAACAGTGAATAGACCGGGCTGATCCGTACAGGTCTTGGGCTTGGGAGGCTCAAAAATGGCCATGACATCAGGGGAGAATGGATCGATTCTTGGTATTTTGCACACATGATCAAAAACGTTAAAGACGCTATACGAGGCAGTCGTTTGAGTGGGCGGGGCAGCAGTCGCTTTGGCGGATGCATTAATGTGGAGATTTTTATGGTTCTTTCGACCTTTCTGAATTACATCAACAGTAGCTTCTCGTCCAATATATATATACATAGTTATAAGCAAAATTAAGGCAAACAGAAGTTTTCTATTGCCAATAATCAAAAAATTAAACATTTTCGTAATTAATGTTTGTTACGTTCTAACTTTACGACATTTGCTTAACAGACTTTTCTTGAACTGTTTTGCTTTGTATATATTTATTAGTGTTTTGGTTTATTACTAATAAACAGCATATTATGTTGAAAATAATTTCCATTAACACGAAATAATCGAGCGTAAGGAGATCTACAGATAAGACATCAAATTATTGGAAACAAATTAATTTATTTATTAAGTTTTAGGGCTCAGTGAATTAAGTTGATTTTTTTTTAACGTTTTCTAAAATGATCCAACGCAAACATTTTATTTTATTTTTCGGCGGATTTTGTGCATTGATGTGGATGTATTACGAAATTGAGTACTCTCTGGAGAATGTAGATTTAATAAAAACACGATATACGGAATCCCTCAAGGAACCGATCCAAATTAAGATAAATGTAAACAATTCAATAGGAATGGAACCTAATCATACCAGGCGTTACTTTGTAAATAGTGCAAAGTGCAAGATGCCCTATGCGGATCCCTTCTCGCCCGAGTCAATGCAGATCTATAAGCCGGCTAAGCTAAAGGTCTGCACAAAACAATCGGATCTATTTCACTTAAGCTTTGACCGCAACACAAATCGCTATTCTCTGCACGTTAATGAGACGATTTTGCTGCCTTTCGGGAATGGGATTGAGTGCAATTATAGAGGGATAAGCCAACGAAAGTATGCAAATAATAGTCCATGGAATTCTGTTGTTTAATTTCTCAATTCTAACATTTCCTCAAGGATACATGCGACTGTTTACTTTGAGAAGCAACATGAATTGCCCCAAAATATCAACGGAGTCATTGCGCAATGTCATATTAAGCTGAACTCTTCACTCATCCAAATCATACAACAAGATGCATTTCCCCTGCATCAAGTAACTAATGAAAGGAGGCAAACGCCTAGCAAACAACCGACACGACAGCCCAGTGTCATAATACTTGGTCTGGACAGCATGTCGCGCATGAATTTCGAACGGACAATGCCCTTGACGGCAAAGTTTGTCCGTCAAGAGGGCTGGTACCCTCTGTCCGGCTACAACAAGATGGCGGACAATACTTTCCCGAATGTCTACACGGTGCTGTCCGGTGTGGCGATGTTGGACGAGCACGCATTTCGTTGGCAAAAGTATCGAGATACTAGAATGATCTGGAGAGATTACATTCGCGCTGGCTATGCGACAGCCGTAACCGAGGATGTTATAAGCATTCCATTATTTCGCCAAATATATAAAACGACGCCGATGCCTTACAATCTACGCTCATTGCTGCTAAGCATCGCTGAGACACTGAAAACCTACGTGAGTTTTGGCTATGATTACTGCATCGGACGTCGGCTGGCCTTCTCGTATGTCTACGACTTCTGTGCCCAGTTCATCACACGCCATATGCTCGAGCTGGATCAGCCCATGTTCGGTTTCTTCTGGAGCTGCACATTCACCCATGACTCGTACAATGTGGCCACCAGTCTGGATCGTATATTCGTGGACTACTTGTATTTATTTGAGCAGCTGAAGCTGTTCGACAACTCGATTGTCATTCTATTGAGCGATCACGGTGCACGTTTCGGCAAACCCATGGATCTGTCCGATAGTTTCCTCGAGGAACGTTTACCTTTGCTGCATATCTACCTGCCGCCCTGGTTCCGCAAAGCCTATCCACAGTACGCTCATGCCTTGGCTATGAATTACAATCGCTTGTGCTCAAACTATGATTTGCATAATACACTGCGACACCTGCTCCAGCTGAATGCCACGACGCCAGCGATGCTGCCCGCTGTGGCCAGTTGCCCGAGTAGTCAATCGCTGCTGCACCCGTTGCCCGTGGAGCGCAGCTGTGAAGATGCTTGCATCGTCGAGCATTGGTGCACTTGCAACGAGTTTGTGAATGTAACCATAGAAAATAACATGAGGCACTTGGCTGAGATGATTGTCACAAAAATCAATATATGGATGCTGAAGAATGGGTTCAGCAAGAAATGCCAGCGTCTTCTCCTTACGGATGTTGACAAGGTCGAAGTCAAGAAGTCCGAGATGATGCAGAATATTGTTACACTGCGAATTCTCTTTTGCACCTATCCCAACGTTGGCAAATTCCGAACGACACTGAAATATAATGTCCAATTGAAGAGAATTGTGTATTTGGATGTGCCGGAAATAAGTCGCATTAATTCGTATAGAACTGATGCGCCTTGTGAGTGGAATACAATAGCAAGAAAGTTTTGCTTTTGTTATAAAAAAAAAACACGGAAGAACACTCTAGTTGGGGATCACCGACTGCGGAATGCTTATTCACAGTCAAGACGCGGCCAGATCCGCCATTTCTAATTTATTTTAGGCTACTGTCTAACCCCAGCATACAATCCAAATTTAAAATCTCTTGCAGGACAGACGGACGGACATTGCAACAAAACTAACATAATTAATTGATTTAATGAAAGTATGGATGAAAGCAGACCTCAGTAGTTTCTTAATCTAAACTCATAAACAATTCTGAGAATCAACAATGTCTTGGCTGCTCAGCAATAATGGCCTGCTCCTATTTGCCAGTTTCTTTGTCTGTGTCTACATATATTTCTATTCCTTCGTTAGATTCGAATTAGCAAAAACCGAGCCCACCATAAACCCTGAACAGTCCATATCACACGAAGATACTTCCCAAATTCCAAGTCAAAACAAATTTAACGTTTTTGATCATGTGTGCAAAATACCAAGAGTCGATCCATTCTCCCCTGATGTCATGGCCCTTTTTAAACCTCCCAAGCCCAAGACCTGTACGGATCAGCCCGGTCTATTCACTGTTCGATATAATAAACAGCAAAAACTATATCTATTGCGCTTTAATAAATCTCTATTTGTGGACCTATTTCCAAGTGTGATCCACTATGCGTGCGTCTTTTACGAGATCATTAGTGGAACAAGTGATAAGCCCATCTGGTATGTATTTAGTTATCTTATGCTGACCTCCATTCAACCATAATTTCGCATTCAGGAACAAGGGATCACCATTTACTTGTAGTGACCGGATCGTGCCCCGTTCCATTCAAGGAATTGTCGTGGAGTGCTTTGAGTTAGGCAACAGGTCTCGAGTCCTGCAGCGCGATGCATTCTCTTTTGTCCAGCATCTAGTCGGACGGAACGAAACGAACGATGAGAAGCGCAGTCGGGCCTATCCCAGTGTCATAATGTTGGGCATTGACTCCATGTCGCAGATGAACTTTCAGAGAACGATGCCACTGACTGCAAAGTTTCTGAGGCAGCCAGGGTGGACTGAGATGCTTGGCTATAATGGACTATTCAACAATGGCTTTCAAAATATGTTTTCCCTATTATCTGGCGGTTCTCCGCAACTGTGGAAGCAGTATTGTGATGTGAAGAGACCGGGTTGTTTAGATACTATTACCTTCCTGTGGAATCATTTTCACAACTCGGGATATTTGACTGCCTATGCGGAAGACTCTCCCTCCTTACCCTTTACGCGCAAGCCCGTGGATTACTATCTCTATCCCATTCTGAAAGTGTTTAAGGAAATTATGGAAGGAGAAGGGCGTCAGGGGGACTCTGACTACTGCCTGGGTCGGAGAGAAAGTTTCCACTATGTTTTCGAGTCTTGCCTGCAGTTGGTACAGCGATTCATGAATGAGACGCACAAGCCGCTCTTCGGACTCTACTGGACAAAGACCTTCAGCCATGAGGACTTTAGCGCAGCAGCACGTGTGGATAGGGATTTCGTGAGGTATCTTGAGCTGTACAGGGAGCTCGGCTTATTCGATAAGGCAGTTGTCATCTTGTTCAGCCTCCATGGACAGCGCCAGGGACCTTTGATGCGGTTAGCCTCGGGCTTTCTGGAAGAGCGATTGCCCATGTTGCACATCTATTTACCGCCTTGGTACCGGAGACAGTATCCAGACGTCAAACAAGCGCTTGAGGTGAATCGTCGTCGGCTGTGCTCCCCATATGATTTGCATTTGACGCTTAAGAATCTGCTCGTGCAGGTGCATCCAAATTTGGAGTTTGAAATCGTGTGCAACAGCTGCATGTCGCTGCTTTACATTGTTCCAGAGAATCGCAGTTGTGCAGGGGCAAAAATTCCGGAGTGGATTTGCTCGTGTGAGCCGTGTAGACGAGTGCCAAATACTGAATTGATGCGGACATGGGCAAAACTAATAGTCTTTCTCATTAATCAATACTTGGCTAGAAATAAATTGATAAGGTATTGCTCTCACTTGAAATTCGAACACTTGATAACCGTAGATCATCAAGAACTCTATAATTCGGAGGGACAAATTGTGAAACCGGCCGATGGCATTCAAAGGTATCGCATTAAATTCATTACGCAGCCCAATGGCGTTTTCCTTGGTAACATTTTCATCAACAGTCAAAATAATATTGCAGACGTGCCGTACCATCGAATAACACGTTTCAACACTCATAGTAAGTGTGTGGATGGGAGCATTAACGATATTTTATGTGTCTGTCGATAGGCGCATGAGTATATTAGATTCAAATGATATTTTATTAAATACAAGAATTGGTTTAATTAATTAATAATTAAAAAAGGGGTTTTAAAATGTCGAACAAAACTTTTGCTTTTATTACATTTCAAGTTCAGTTAGGAGTCCCAGCTCTGAGTCAATTTATTCTTATCGCATTCTTGCACATGCAAAATTTTTTAGAAATCGGATCTGATACACATTCCGAGTCCGGGGCATAAATAGATAAGCGACTTATTTCGTTGATGTCCATATTCAAGGTAGCTGTGCGATTAATCCAGGAGAATGTTACTTCAAATATCCCAATATTTGGTGCCGTTGAAAATTCAATTACGTAATATTGTTCGCTATCATCGGCAGTAGCATTTCGGTTCAATTCAATAATATGATCTAAATATATGATATTAGTTAACGTAAAGTTGGCACAAAGATCCGATAGGTTTTTCTTGACCAAATCATCGTTCATTTGCCGAATTATCGCCAAGGCCATTGACCTCGCATAGGGTTCCATGGTAACAGTCACTCTGGGATGGCACGTGCACCATTTCTCTGTGATGCCCGCCTGTTCGCAGGTCCTGTTCACAGGCAGCCTATAGAACAACGATTGGCAGGTGGGACATGTCGCTGACATCGGCTGAATGTCCGCATTCTTGGTGCTATTGAGTTGCAGCAAATGCTGCAGCGTCATGTAGATATCGAAGGTCGAGCTCAAGCGATTACGATTCTTTACCAAATTGCCAACATGATGCGGATATTTGCGCCGAAACCAAGGCGGCAAATAAATGTAAAACATGGGCATACGCTCCTCCAAATACCCAGTTGTAATCTGTCTCAAATAGCCGTAACGCATGCCATGATCGCTTGTCAGTATGACAATCGAACGATTGAATAGGCCATCTCCTTCGAACTGCTTGAAATACTCAACGAATAGGTCGTCTAGGGCGAAGGTCATGTCAAAATAGTCGTGCGAGAAGCTATTTGTCCAAAATAAGCCAAACATCGGTTTCGCCGTACGTATAAAGCGTTGAATGAATTGCTTGGCAAAGTCCCACAGATAGGCAAAGGTCAGATGACGTCCCAGACACAGATTTTTATCGAAGAATTTGCTCTCATTGAACGTTTTCTCCATGGCCAGAAGTAGAGGTCGCAAATAGTAGTCGACGGGCTGTTCTATAAATCCCGGCATCAAATAGTTAAACGTACTTATACTCATCTTATCCTCGGCCATGGCTGTTGTATAATTCTGATCCTTGAAGCGTTTCCAAATGAACGGTAGTTTATCGAAGCATCCAAGCTTGCGAACATCGCATATTTTGTCCGTATCCTCGGCGGAGTAACCCGTTAGCATGGCCAACAGATTGGGCAGAGTGTTATCGCCGACCTTATTGAGACCTTGGAGCGTATACCAGCCAGGTTGCTGCAAATATTTGAATGTTTTGTGCATGGTGCGACGCAGATTGATTCGAGACATGGCATCGATTCCAAATATGAGCACACTTGGCTTTGGGTGCTCCTCTATCTTTTCCGGCAGCTCCTCACTGCTCCTGCCGTCATAGTCCTGCACGAAGGCAATGCCATCCGATTGTATGACTCGCTTCTCCTTTCCATTGACCACGGCACAATGGACTAGCGCATAGTGAAGGTCCGGTGGTACAAGGAAATCCTGCGTCAGCGTGCGTCTATATAGTACACTATAAGACCATAAAGTTTAATCGCCGATAATCGGATATCTGCCATCATCAACAGATTGTCACACTGCACAACTCACCGAAAACTATTGTCTACCTGCTTGTTTTTCAAATCTCTCACAATTTTTTCGTATTTACATTCCAGCGTCGTATTTCGCTTATACCATGACACGGCCTGTTCCTCTCTGATGTGCAAGCGGTACACTTTCAGATCGAAATCGTATTCGGCTATAATTATGTCGCTGTCAGAACGACATTTCTCTAATTTCTTGGGCGTCATGATTTTCAGCACATCTTCCGTAAAGGGCTCCACATAAGGCATTTTACACACAGCACTATTCACAAAATAGGTCTTATTGGACAGCTCACCGGTAGCCCCACAATCTAAAGTCATCAGGCAGCATAGCAATAGCAGCAGCAACACCATTGCCATTATACGGAATACAAGGTACTAAGTATTATTTGGGAGATGTTCAAATTATAAACTATAATCATATTTGATATGCCCAGCTGTGACGAATCTAATTAACCTTTCCCGTTATATGTGTGAAAACAAGGTTTAATCTAATGGAGAAATATGAATTCCCTTTGAAATATGTGTTTACATATTCTTTGTATATATATCCTCAAACGTATACAACTAGAAATATTTTATATAGGGCAACAATATACATGGCAAAAGAAATTAATTTAAAATGAAATATTCTTAATGAAAAATTTATACAAGAATTCTTAACTAGAAATCAATATGAACAAGTAAGAAAGCTCTAGTCGAGAGGCTCGACTACGAGCTCCCCTGAACCCTTCGAGCAACTGATATTTTCAATAATTTTTTGCTTGGGCTTTCTGCATAAAACATTCAGATAAAAAAAAAAAACATGAAAATACAAAAAATTTAATAAATAAAGTCTTTAGCTATTATATCTTCTGAGAGCGCCGCATTCAAGCATACGGACAGTCAACTCTACGGACAAAAGGGCCGGGTTAAGGCAGCTCAGCTCATCGCCCTGATCAAGATATATACTTCATTAGCTCACAAAAGCATCATACCTTGACCTCTCATTTTCCATGGGCTCGGGATATACAAATTATCTATATATTATAAATCAGTATGAGTAACAATTTAGTATAGTTAAAGAAATATATTTCCAAGAAAACTTTGGACTAGTATCATTGTACTCTTATCTAATTTACCAGCTATTCTCATATCGTAATTTCTTATCATTTATAACGGCTGCCACTGACAGCAGAATACTTATTCAGAATTGTATCGATTTGCTTGAGGACTGTGCAAATTATTTGGTATTTTCCGATTCCGATTTTGGTATTTATAAATTAAAAATTCAACAAAAATGCTTTTATTTATTTTTTTTTTTAAATTGAAATTACAGTACTTGGTATGAATAAATATAAGAATGGAATATTTATTAACAAGGAGAATAATTGAATACAATTTTTTACATTCAACAAAACAATTTCACGTCCTTATTATATCTAATATTTGTCTCGACCCGTATTTGGCAGTTAAATTATGCTTAAATTAAATCAGCAACGACCACACTTAAATTAAGTAAATGCTGTTTAGGGACGAGTCTTTAACATTACAAATTAGATACCTTTAAAAATATATCGAATATTTACAAATCCATTGAAGAACTTGGCTACGTCTTCAAATCACTAAAGCATATGCAATACAATTTGGCAATTTTATCATTAATACACGTGGAATCCTCTTTATAGGAATTCGTACGACTTATGCTCTCCACGTTCACATCAACCGCCTCAGTGATATTGTTAAAGACAACTGTGGCCTGAAAGTCGGCGCTGTTTTGATTAACCTTGAACTTGGTGCGATAGACCGCCTGCTCTATTTGGGGTAGAGCATCCTTCCAGCTGACTTGCTCACCTGTTCGAATTTCCGTATAATGTACATACTTCAATGTTAAATTACTACATAAATGACTTAGATTCTTTGCTACAAAATATTCATTCATTCGATCGATAATGCGCGGCGCAATGCGATTTTGCCAACCGAACTGGCCGAGGCTTCGATACGGTCGGCAAGTGCACCAATGCTCCGAGATGCCGGCCTGGGCACACGTTCGATTCTCGGCAATCGGATAGAACAATGACTGGCAGGTGGGGCAATCGTAGGATCTGGGCAAAGCCGGCCCGTCAGGTGTACCGCCCAGCTCGATAATGTGCTTCAAGGTATTGTGTAAATCGAAATTGGAGCTCAGACGGTGTTGATTGAGCGCTAGCGCCTCGGCGTACTTCGGATACTTTGCACGAAACCATGGCGGCAAATAGATAAACATCATGGGCAGACGTTCCTCCAAATAGCCCTCGGACAGGGTGAGTAAACTGCCAAAGCGTGCACCGTGATCTGCAAAGAATATCATAATCGTGTGCTCCAGCGATCCATCGCTGCGATAGGCCAGCAAATCGCCTAGGACCTTGGGCTCCATGGCCGCGGGCATAGACCAATCGTCATGACTGAAGTGATTCGACCAGAACATGCCCCAAATGGGTCGCTCTGCCACAAAACGTTGCATGAACTGTCTTCCGTAGTCGTAAATATAATGATTGGCCAAGCGACGACCATAGCAATACTTCATATAACAACCGGGACACTTATAGGAGGGCAATTCTTCTTCAAGAGCGCGCAGAAATGGACGAAAATAATAGTCGGTTGGTTTTTTGGTGAAGCCCGGCTTCATATAAGTGAACGTATTTGCTCCACTCTCATCCTCCGCAAAGGCGGTCAAATAGCTGGCATTGTGGAAATAATTCCAGATCATGGGCAACTCGTCCAGGCAGCCCTTCACGCTCGTATCGCAAACATGCTCCTTGGCCTTCTCCGGCGAATAGCCACTCAAGATGGCCAAAAGATTGGGAAAAGAATTGTCAGCCACCTGAAAATCATGGACGACGTTCATGTAGACGACGAGAATATGTAGACTGAGAATACAACCTTGTTGTAGCCCTTCATTTCGTACCAGCCGGGCCCCTTTAGAAACTGATGTACCAGGGGCATAGTGCGACGCAGATTAATGCGAGAGATCGTATCGATGCCGTACATGATAACACTCGGCTTACGCGGACTCTGTTTTTGCTCTGACCTACTCGTCTGCAGCTTGGGCTTGTCATATTGAACGAATATGAAGGCATCCTTTTGCAATTTGACGGGCGTCTTCTCGGCGGTCTCACAGTCCAGAATCATGCCCCCCACATGCAGTGGCACAACATAGCCCTGAGAGAAATATATGCTCGGACTGAGACTAAGAGAACAAACAACAACGAACAATCAGACGAATTAAGGTTGAAGAGCTTTGCAAAAAGAAAAACTTCGGGCAATCAGAAATTTACATGTCATAGGTTTCCACATTTGCGCCCAGCTTTATCACCCGATAGAAACAATTGAACTCCATGTCACTTGAATTGAGCAGCTGGCGAGCGACATTTTCATTAATATTTAGCACATATCTCTTGAGTTTTGTATCGAACTTCGCGGAAACTAGATCACTTTCATTCGAGCACGGTATAAATTTGGGCGGCTTATAGATTTTCATAACCTCCGCTGAAAAAGGATCTACATAGGGTATCATGCACTGGGAAGTATGCAGGAAATATTTTGGCAACTCCACGTGAGGCACAGAGTATGGAATTAATGGCGTTGTAATTACGTTCATATTTCGTTCATTTGTTATATTAATGCTAATACGTGATATTTGATTGTCCTCGGCATTGCGACTTGATAAAAATTTCAGCGCTATGATAACTAGGATCAAACACAGGAACCATTTGTATAAGAAATGTTTGCCAGCAATTCGAGCACTCATGATCTGCTCTTTCACGCGAACCGAACTCAACTGACTGCAAAGCTGCATAGCCCTATTTCGGGGAGCTGCTGTCTTCGTCTTTCAAATTGGCAGAGACGTTCTCGCTTGACTTTATCAATGAATGAATAATGGGTTTTGTTTTAACGTGTATATTTGTTGTGTATGTAGGTGTGTTTTTTTTTTTTTTTTTTTCTTGTTGACTCTTTTATATATAAATATAATTCTTGGCTGTACTTTCATTATAAAATAGCCAAATAGTTAATTTTTTTTTTCCTCTCTCTTTCTCTCTTAACGTTTTAAAATATCAGGCCACGCCTTTTATTCGACGTTGGCAGAATGTTGAACCACGAATTACATATAATTAATGAACCTAAGCAATGGATCAGCTTGTTTTCCGCCAGATCTGGAAAGCGGGAAAATTAAAAAGCTTTTCAGCTATCTTTAATGTTTAAGTATTTTCGTAATTTCGTTTGTATTTTGTATAAAATTTACATAGTTTATATAAAATCTGCAATGTGTTAGAATCACAATTCAGTTTCTATTAGTTGCTTTTTCACCTAGATCTACCTTTTGGGCTAACATTGCTAATAAGAGAGAATTGTTTGCATGCTAAAAATAAGATTCTCATTTTAGCCATATAGCACTAGTATTTTAAGTGAATAAATATTTACATCAAACTCTCGTAAACCAATAAAAACGTGATTCATTATTGGCCCCCTCGGTGGCTTGCAACAAGTGTGACAAGTTTTAAACAAGCCCAATTATAAATAATGTATACGGGGTAGGCGTACCAACAAAAATATGGCCCTACAGCTGTCGCTCAGCGAAAAACTCAATGCTTGCTGTGAAGCAAAGTGTTTGTTGGCAAAATTGTATGGAACAGTTAGTAACAGTAATAGAAGATAACGTAGGGTACACCTACGTAGGGCGAAATATTAAAGCTTACTATATTTTTCTATAAATAGAATAAATAACTATTATATTTTTTTATTTATTTATTTTATTTTAATTTTTGTTGTAAGCATATACTCATGAAGGTCTGTCACGCCTTCGTCTGCTTTTGGCCTACACATATAGCCTGGATTTGGCTTTCCAATCGTCTCTAATTGTCATCATCATCATTACAAAATCAATATTTGTGATAATCGAATTCATAAGCAAAACTATTGAGAACTCATTAATAAATACAATTAAGTATTCCATTCCAGTAAAGACCTGTTCACTTTGACATTGCACAAAATGCCAAAAACGTGTTCTTTAAATAATTTAAAAGCCACGAATTCACAAATAAATACAACGGCCCGTTTACACAACTCGCTATCTGAAAACACCTGTAAAAATACCTTTAGCAGTAGCTTTGTTCTGTCACGAAGAGGGCAGAAGCCAAGGATAAATATATAATTTAATAAATAATCAACATTTCGAAGAATACCCTACCATTGAAGAAAATTATTGAATCGCCTTATCTATACAATATTTGGTTGTTATAACTACAGTAGCTGTAGTTATTTTCAAGTAGACCCACACATATCGATTATTTCGAGCAGCAAGTGACAAGATTTTGCTTTTAGAGTTTCCATTTTATTGGTAGACATGAAATCCGATATGATTCGAGGAAATATTCTATCGATTTTAAAAATATATAATTATCATTACTAGCAACAGCAACTAAGAAACAGACCATTACACCGACACCTGAAACTGTCCACGGTCTTTGATAAAATACACTAGCACTCGAGTCTGTACAATGAAAGATTGGAGCAACCGGCAGAAACCGGCTAGCAAACATGCTCACTAGACACCAAACTACTGGGAGGCTCAACAGAAGGATAGATATGAGTCTAGTGTAGTCAATTGGGCAGAAATAATAGAGACCAAGATAAAAACAAATTATTATTATTATTTTTTAAATCTTTTTATCTTTTATTAAGCCATACGAAGCACTCTTGTATATATATAATTTTTAATTTTTGCATACTCTTAGGCTGAAAGAAAATTCGAGTATATTATAAAAGTACAAATATAATACAAATCAATCGCTTAAACAGACAGAAGGATGGACTAACAGACGAACGCTCGGACATTGTCCAAAATCAACTCATTCACAAAAGCAACATGAGCATAAATACACATACACATAAATACACATAAAAAAAAAATTAAAGCAAAAATAATATTGACTTCAAAATTAAATTTTTACTTTAAAAATTAATAAATTTAATTTTTGCTGATGTCCACATCAGGGAAATATATTATAGAAGACTATTTAAAAGTGATAACAATTTCAGCATAATTGTATAATATTACTTACATTTATTTCGCTTAAGAGATAAGATAAACAAAAATACATAATAGAAGATGATATACCACTCCATCAAGAAGATACGTGGGAGATTATTGTAAATATTAGTGCCTTATAAATTATTATAATTCAAGTACTAAATGATTTATTAAAGAAAAGAAACTTTTAAATAGGGTAAGCTAGAGAATGGAAAATAAATATGTAAAAATGCTTTAGTAGAGAATGATAGATACCCTAGGAGATACCCTAAGCCCAGAGCCGAACATTATAACTTTTATATTAAAAAAAAATATATTTTATACATTTATTGTAATTATTTGCTATACTCTTTTATATATATGATTCAAAGTAAAAATATGGACAATATATGCATTGAACAATAACATATATTCTTGTTAACCTTACTGGGTATTTTAAGTAATCAAAGTAAATCTCAGATTTTTTTCAACTCATAGTCTCGATAATTTTATAAGCATTAAACTGCTCTATCAAGTTTAAAAATTGACATTTCTGTTCCACAATAATATTGATAGAATTTTTTTTGTAAAATCTACATAAGCGCAAAATTTAGTAGCCCTTAGATTATGTGGATACTTTTACTGATATTAAATTTCCAATTAAACCAATGGCTTCAACTAGTCACCCTATAGTCGCTGAGAAGGGCGCGGCATGCTAGACACGTGCATGTCTCATGCCTCCCAGCCTGTCGGTTAATCAGCTTTAGCCTCTTATCAATAGGTTTATTCGCGTGCTGTTTGCTTTTACAGAGTGTGTATTTTATGCCATTTACTATAATCATAAATGACAATTACTCTAGTTCGTCAGCTATCAGCTACACAGTGCGGTCGGATAAAGCGCACTACATCTGTCAACTGTCTCAGGGCAACAGACAGCCGCAGCTTGTTGTTGTCTTCAGTCTACAGTTTTCCATTTTTGTTTTGTGGGTTGTATTTTTTTTTTTCGCACTCCTATTGGAACGTCATTGCCCACAGTGGGCAATCAGACAGAGTAGCAAAGTCATTCTGCGCATCCAGAGAATAATTTCGAGTTAGTTTGCGGCGATAATTCAGTCGAGTCGGATCGTTGCAGATTAATTTGAATATTTTGCCTTACAACATTTATAATTCTTGTTCAACATGTCTAACAAATCCTTTATGAAACGTAGCACAAATATCAGTGCGGGACAATTGCATTATTATCACACGGATTTCTACTACTCGATGCCCGATTTACACAGTAAGTGTTCTGAAAAGTTTGCAAAAATATCAAAAGTCAACCGTGCTTGAATCCGAGGTTTAAATAAGTCTGACTATTTTTCAAAATACATGTGTGTACTTACTAGCGCTTGTAATATCAAGAGATATCTTTGTGTGAACTGAAAGGTTGTCAAGGCTTTTTGATTGAAACCGAAATTTGTAACTACAACCACAATATGGATTTAAATTAAGACTGAAAAAAGATATTGCCATCTCTGTAATGAAGTAGAAAACTATTCAATATATTGACTCAGGCTCATCGAAGAATACTTAGAAATAGTAAAAAAGTATAATCAGATTCATGATTATTTAGAAATATATTTGGATTCTTGATGATACATATAAAATCATTAATTTGTGTTAATTAGTGTAAATATGTATTTAGAAAATATTACTAATCAGAATAATTTCAAACAGGTTTATTAAAAGACTAGATTGATCGCATTATAATTATAAGCTTTTCGATTTTTTTTTTTTTAAGTTTATGATTATTTGATTATTTTTTTTTTTTTCAATTTCAATTTCAATTTATTTCACTCTTTGTTATAATGGTATTTTACAATATTTTAAGAGTTTAGGCTACTACATAGTCCTTTTCTACTAAGTTATTTATTTACATACATGACATATGGATATGCGATAACGTTATTATTTGGGGGAAAAAACAAAGAAATAGAAAACCCCATGAAAATTTACTACAAACTAAATTAAATTAAATTAAACAGCAAACACTAAAAACTACAAGTCTATGCCAGGTCGTTTATATGTGAATATTATGATTCCTGACACTTGGTGATAAATTTTTGCGATAGTCGCGATTATATTTAATTCTTAAAATTGTATATTTTTTTATTGCAATACAATTGAAGTTATTTACCATTTCTAAACAAAACTTATGTAGGTATAATTGCTTTAGTTAGCAATTGAGTTTTAACACTAAGAAAAAATATATAGAATAATATATATATGTTCACTGTATATTATAAAAATCACATAAATATATTTCCATAGTCAATCTCTGTTATGCAGCAGAAAAAATGATATTCATGACAAGCATTAATCTTAAGTAAAAACAAGCAAAGTTCACGCGTTATCTCCTTGTCCCTCAAATAGATAAAAATGTCTTACGCAGCTGCTGCGTTTAGATTTAAATATTTTACTATTTATAAGTATTTTTATAAATATTTTAATCAATGTTAAGAAATGAAAAAAAAAATGCAAAATAAATTACTAAGTATACATCTCTACACCATAAACAATTAAAATCAATTTACTTGTCAAGTACTATGACACTTTAATTATTATTCAATTTATGTTTTGAAATGAATATCAATATACCTTTCATGCCGATTTGATTCATGTACACGGTACAATTTAGTTAAGTTTCGAACCAATTGAAGCAGCGCAGCCAACTTCACATCAAAACAAATGCGTTTTCTCTGAGAGTAGTTTTGAATTTTCCGAGCGCAGAGAGCAGGAGAGCGAGCGGGAGAGTGAAAGAGGTTGAGGGAGACAATGTAGCGCAAGCGTGCTCAGCACAACGCTTGGTAAATCCCATTGTTTTTCATATTGTGCGATGATGAAAGAAACAAAAAATATTCCATTCCAACTGCCAGATAGTCAGTCGTCAGTCGTCAGTCGTCAGTCAAAGAGCTCGCGAATAAACGAACGTGCGGCGCGACGCTTAGCGAATATTTCGTAAATAATTTTTTTTTAAAATAACAACTAACGAATTTTAATATGAAGTAAATAATAAAAACAAATTCGACAAGTGCTAAAAATATAACAAGAAGTTTGTGCCATAAACGAAGACAAAAAATAAACAAAAGCAACAAAAGTAGACGCCAAAGAAAAGCTAAGAAAGAGAGAGTGAGAGAGTGCGAGAAAGTGGAAAGAAGAGAGTGTGGGAGAGTGCCGCAAACAAAAAAACATTAGAAACACCACAGTTGTTGATAACAAAAGTGTGTCAAAATATCATCAGCAATGGGAAGAAATAGCAGCATAATAAGAACAATAATAATAATAATATTAACAATACTCGACTGATAATAAAGAGAACAACAAAAACTCTGCACGTGCTGATAACCAAGAAATTGGTTTTTTTGCTTTTGCTTTTGCGTTTGCTATCATCATTCGTTCTATGTAAACACCCAGGGAGAATAAACAAAACAAACTGCATATATGCAAGACAGAGGACAAAGAAGTGGAAGAAGAAGCAGTAGAAGCTTGCACATATCAACGTCACGTCGACGCTGACAGCGCTGTCGACGTCGCTGTCGCCGTCGCCGTCGCTGCCGAGACGTTGACAACGTTGTCCGCGAGCCAAAACGTAAATAAGCTAAATAACAGAAACAAATAAACATGTAAGTTAACAACACGAAGAAGAGGAGGAAGAAGAAATAACAGAAACATGAGAATTAGACATGAGCACAACTACATACATATTTACATATCTATGTATATAGTATCTGTACATATTCATATGAATAAGTACGCGTACTTAAGCACATATTTAAATTTTATTCGAGGCACACGCTAACAGCACTGAACGAGCACTAGAAACGCAAAATGTGCAAGAATTAGTCAAGGTAGTTCAAGTTTACGAGAACCCTATACTATACACATATACACTGCGCGTCATCAGGTTAGCGCCCCCCTTTACACTCAACCTCAAAGCTAAATAAAATCTAAACCATCAGAGCTCCATCTTTGAAATTTTTTTACTTTATACTCCGTTTATTTCTCTTTAAAATACAAAAAGAATGGCTACTGTAACATTAAGAATTATTTTTAAATAATTTTTTTTGTAAAATGTACAAAAAACATGTAACAAAAATTTGGTCATCAGATTAGCGCCCCCTGCGCTAAATTCAATTTATTTAAGCTAATGACCAAAAATAACACCGTATTTTAAGCTATTATTATTTTTAAGTAATATTAGTAGTGCGTAGTGCCGTTTTTTGTTTGAAATTACTTCAAAAATTCGATTAGGAGTGGAATTATAAAGTTGTTCAATATTNATAAAAAATATAATAATTAAATGGGAAGATAAAAATAATTTGGAGTATCTAGAATTAATTTATGAAAACTTTAAGGTTCGAGTCTATTTAGAGTTTACCTAAGATCTAGTTGTTAGTTTAAAAATACTTATTTAAAGTGTCAGAATTAATTTAAAGTGTTTTAATAATTTAGTGTTTAAGAATCAAATGAAGTCAATATATAATAATTATTCACGTATTTTAAAAGCAAGATAAGGTATAAAATAATTTTTTGGAAAACAACTTTTAGTATTAAAGCATTACTTTTATTATCTTCTATATCTTGAAACGCATACAGACGTCTATAACTAATAACATTCTATTAACTATAAACAACAAGATCTTAACTCTAGTATATGGTATTCTGCAAAACAAGTTTTAGGCTTATAACATGTTTGCATACTGGCTATAAACCTGCCTCAACAACAAACCCAACAACAAGAAACCTACTCGATTCGTTTCAATGACAACTTGTCGAAAAATTACCAAATCGTTAACCAAGTGGAAAAATTAAATATTTACCAACTTGGATATGCAGTCGCGACAATTTTCGCTCAGTTGCCAAAGAAATTCCCGACCTATGACCTTAGATGGGTTAGTGGATGAAGCGCAAGACAGAAAAGGTAGCTAAAAAAAAACACTGTTGACAATTTACAAGTGCTACCTTAGGTGATTACGCAATGTTCGATGAAATCATTCAGCTTTTTCAATGTGTAAAGAAAAACACAGTAAAGTGAAGATAAGACCGCTTTGTATATATATGCCAGTTTATGTTAGTCTTTATCGGAAATCACTCCGCAACAACTAAGAGTACTCTAACCAGGAGTATCCGACTAGCAAATATCTGGAGCTTTTAACTGAACTTATATATAGACAGACTAGCAGACCGAATCAACTACATCAGTTCCTAGGCAATGTCCCACTAAAAGATACAGAAGACCGAGTATGGACTCAGCTTTCTTCTCATTGTTTACCAAGTCTTATCCGTGCCATACATTATATGCTATATTCATGCGTAGTACTTCTCTCTCTCTCTCTCTCTCTCTCTCTCTCACACACACACATCTTTACTTCTTATCAAATTGCCTTCACTAAAATATAGATTACTATAACTCAGCCCTGGGCGATTATTATCAAATATTTATAATCGATCGTCTGACAAAACGTCTATCAGCAGTCTAAGCTTTAAATATTACCTAGTTGTCACCCCGTCAAGTCGTTTATTATATTTGATAGCAGCCAATTTATTGGCAATTAGGCAAGGCTATATTATTATAAGAGTTCTAATCAATTTCGAATTAAGAAGCTTTTAATCTATAGAGAACATTGATTAATATACTAGTATAATAAGCTATTCAGATCTAGCAAGCTATTCACCTAAACTCAATGAAAACTTTTACTATTTAAACAGCTGAAGTCTTCTTGTTATTGTATCCCATCTGTCTGTTTCTCAGATACAAATATTCACTCGTCTAGCACCTGATACTAGCTTATATTAGCACCAATAAATAAGCGCAAATGTTTTGCCGTCTAAACAATACATGCGACGAAAACGTGACGATGATGATGAGCGATATGAAAAGCTCCCATATTTTCCGATTCTCTCAAGCCCATATATATTTCGAAATGAAATTGATAACGTATATGTTTTATGACAAGTAAACACCAGCAATACACCGATTGATAAAGCCCAAACAAAAAAAAAAAAAAAAAAAAAAAAAAAAAGTTATTAATATATAAAATGCCCACATAGGAAAATAGCTGATATCGATGAGTAATGGTGAGCTTGAGACTCACGATTAATTAAATTAAATACATAGCTTAGCTCACATCTCATGACACAGTTTTACTGCTACAAATATAATAATCAGACAAAACACATTTTATAGAGATTTATATGCATATATGTTTTTATTTGTATAATTTTGTATAAGCAATAAGAATGATAAAGCTATAAAGATATTTATTTCGTATTGTCATTGTCATTTGTGTGAAGTGTGGGAAATATGTATATGGGACTTGAAGTATTTTTTTTTTTACTTTTCTGATTAACAAGTATTTTATGATTTAACCAAAGCTTTATAGCTTGCTTAAGCTGGAGGTAGTTTATTAACTGTTATCGCCCTAAAGTATGCAGGAGAAAATAATATTTAAATAAAAGTTATCAATTCAAATTTAAAAAAAAAAAGAAAAATTAAAATAAAAAAAAAATACATATATATATTCGTGTTGCAAACATTTGCTCAGAAACAAATATTTGTAAAGAATATTTTATTGTCATTATGAAAAAGAATTCAACAATGATTATAATGATTAAAT